TTGGTTCATCTCTGCTGTTGTGGCCAGTGCTTCTTCAGATTTCTCTGCTGTGTTATCTGGGGCTGTAAGATTAAGTTATGAATGGGCTTTCCTGGGGTGTGTAAGAAACGCTCAGTCATCCTGGAGCACCGAGCTCCTGTCACGCAGGTCAGTGGGGGAACAGTCTATGGAGAATGGAGGTTTACTCCCAAGAGAGGAGGAGAGGGTGCTCCATTCCTTCAGTGCCAGTGCAGCTTTCATTCGTCCTCACACATTTCCTTGGTGCCTGTGCTGGGCCAGGTGCTGCCTTCTTCCTCTTTCCACTCTAAGCACCTCTTCCCTGGAAACCCCTCCATCTTCAGTGCAGAGCCTCCTGCTTCAATGAATAGAGAAACTTTGCCACTAAATTTGAGAAAAATATTTTAGAGTCAAGAAGAGGAGGCAGGGGGAGAGTGGGTGGGAAGAGATCAACCAATGAACTTGTATGTGTTATATGCATAACACTTGGGGTGGTGAGAGCTTGAGGGGGGGAGGGGAGGAAGCACTGGAGTGGGCTGGAAGAGGTTAATGAAGGAAAAAGGAGGGCCTATGTAATACTTTCAACAATAAAGATTTTTTAAAAAATGAAGATAAAAATTTAAGAAAAAAAGAGGAGGCAGCTTAAAGATTCTGAACGCATCAAATTGGAGAGTTTAAAACCTAATTATTCCTTAGATATGGGCCTCTAAATGGCTTCAATCAATATTTATTGAATGATTAAGCAAACGTTACAGTCACGCTGGTGCTTAATAGAAGGATTTTCCTAATAAGCTAATCATGAGAAGAGATTGCAAGAGGGAGTTTAACTTAAGAGGATAGTTCTCACACTTATTGTTTTAACCATCCAAATAATAAACTTTGTACAAATTTTTCAAGTGTGCCTTAGGTATTTGTTTTAAAAAAGTCCAAGCTTTGTCTCCATTAGACAAGATTTCAAATTAGTTTGTGCTGGCACTTAAAAGTGTGGGCAATGCCTTAACTGGTTTGGCTCAGTGGATAGAGTGTTGGCCTGAGGACTGAAAAGTCCCAGGTTCGATTCCGGTCAAGGGCATGTACCTTGGTTGCGGGCACATCCCAATATGAGGTGTGCAAGAAGCAGCTGATTGATGTTTCTCTCACTGATGTTTCTAACTCTCTATCCCTTTCCCTTCCTCTCTGTAGTAAAAAAAAAAAAAAAAAAAAAAATCAATAAAATTAAATTTTAAAAAAATGTGGACAAAAAAGGTGGGGAGGGGTTCTATGGAAAGTAACCTCACAGGGTGATCAGCCCTAACTGGGCAGGTCATGGTGGGTGTCATGTCCCCAGCCTCTTTAGTATAAGGTTTTAAGCCAGCCCTATCTACTGTTCTTGTGCATCTAGGTTAACACACCTTTGAAATATCAGAAGTCATAACCCTCCAAGTGGACATTAACGCTCAAGAGAGCACATAATCTTGTTCCAATCTTCCTCTCATCCCCTCCTTAACTTCAAATGGATAAAAGAAGCTGCAAAACTGTCATTCTCTGGAGCATCTGAGATCTTGTTCCCTGGCATATGTCATCAGTTTGGCTCAAATAAACTCATAAAAACTCGCAACGGGTTCTGACGTTCTAACGTCGACAAGAGTAATAACAGTGCATGTCTTTTAAACAGCCCTCCTCCAAACTTGGCACCAGTTCAAAACGATCTTCACTCCTTTCTCTCCATACACCCAAGTGCCCTGGCAAAGCAACCCGTAAGAATACAGCCTACTACTGCCTTAACCTGTCAAACAGAGGAAGCAATGGCACCTGCATCATCCAGTGGTCACTGAGAATTAAATGAGATTTGTGACAAGAAAATATTTTGAGAATTTACACGTTTTCCTTACCCTATGTTTATTTTCGAGGGACCCTTGGCCTGTTACCAATTCAGTCAGCAGCCTTTCCTTATCATCTTGAAGTCAGTAGCATTTATTGCCTCAGGGGAGGAGTGATAAGGCAGAAAAGCCAGAAAACTACTTAGGAGTAGTAAAAGGGAGGCCTTGGGACCTGTAAAATTTAACCCTTGAATAACTGAAGCATAAAGTTTGTGCCATAAATCTTAGAAATGGAAAAACAGAGAACTAGGCATATACGAATTATCAAGAAGGAAGGAGAGAGGCAGAGAGGAGGCAAAACATTGGTCGTAGGGTCCCAGAGAAAGGTGCTTACCGCCTGGGAGGTGGGGGGATGGTATGCTTCCTGGAAAATGGGGTAATGGTACATCCCTCCCCCTTACCACCCCCCCCAAGGTGGCTGAGTGATGGTATGCCTTCTGGCTCCAGGACAGAGGAACTTGTCAAGCAGAAGAGCTGGGAGGGAGACGGGAGAGTGTGCCTCTTTCCAGGTGCTGGAAACAGTGGCTTGTTCTTCATGAAGCGGGAGGTGGTTCTGAGTTAGCAGGGAGAACCAGGGCTTTGAAGTATGGAGCAAAGAAGCCACCTGGGGCCTGATGGGATATCCAGTGTGGCAATGGGATTGGCAAAGTTACTTTGTGTATTGGGACCCACACAATGGAGGCTGCCCGCGGAAGCACAAATCTAAACCTAAGTCAGCCCCCACTTACAGGAAATACCTTTCAAGGAAACCAAACACAAGCCTTTATTCCTCGAGTAAAGGACATCAAACTCAAATTGTTTCAGTTTTCTCATTTCAAATGATATAATGACGGATACCACTATGGTTAGATGAACTATAGGATATGAAGTCCCAGCAACTTTCCATCCACCTAGGAACTTAGACAAAACTTGGCATAGAGAAGAAGTAAGAATCAATTGAAATTAAGTGTATACCAGGAGAATGAGCATTTAAAATAGAAATTAGCAATTAAAGCCATTTATTCAAAAAGTAAATTAAATTGAATTATTCAATTCTACATATCTCACCCAGACCTTGAGATTTACTCCTACTCTGAGATAATGTGTGTGAGTGCCTGGCATATAATATGTGTTCAATAAATGCTAGTTATTATTATTATTATTATCATCATCATCATCATCATCATCATTATCATTATCTTAGATCCCAGGACAAGACACTGAAGAAGGTCCTATCGTAACAGAATGAAACTCTTTCTGACCACATCTTGTTGATGCCTGCTTCGTTCCCATGGCTTCTGCTTTGCCTTGCATGCAGATATGCTAATCATTAGAGAAATTCTACTTGCTGCCTGACTGTTACCAGAACAGCTCCTTACCAGAAAGTGCCTCTTCCAAGGAAATAAAGAAAGTATGTACAAGAATAATGCTTATTTATCAAAGATTTCCAAGAACCTCATGATTGAACTCTTTTCTTTTTTTTTAATATATTTTATTGATTTTGTACAGAGAGGAAGGGAGAGAGATAGAGTTAGAAACATCGATGAGAGAGAGTCATCAATCAGCTGCCTCTTCCACACCGCCTACTGGGGATGTGCTCGAAAGCAAGGCACATGCCCTTGATCAGAACCGAACCCGGGACCCTTCAGTCCCCAAGCCGATGCTCCATCCATTGAGCCAAATCAGTTTCGGCATGATTGAACTCTTAATGTGACAATTGATGTGAGTTTATGTAAGCAGGATTTTCCTCAGACCCGCAGATGTCCGCGGTGGTCAATCACCTATTGCCCTTCCCATTTCCCCTTCCTTTTACATAAAAGAAGCATGAACTCTGTACTTGGGAAGTCAGAGTTGAAGAAGCACTAGGTCTCTCATTTGCTTGGTTAGTGCCTTCTTCATCAACAAACCTTTCCTTACTTCGAAAGGCCAAACTCTGATGTTTGGAGTTTGACCTTTTGAAGCATTGGGTACAAAGTCCATGTTAACAGTATTGTGCACTTTAAGAAAGTCTTACTACCTTCCTTTTGAGAACTAAAGTAGGAAAGGGGGTCAGTCCACTTTTTTCCTACCCGCAGACACTCGAGTTAGTACCGGTATTTTGAACATTTGTGGTGAGAAAATGGACCATTGACAACTCAGAGGGAACAGCAGTGGAGAGCTTCCATGACTGGCTGGGTAAGTTCTCTCTTTACCTTTCTTTCTTAAAATTGACCTCTATAAAGAATACTATGTATTCATCAAGGCAGCTTCCTTTGGGGCACACAGTAAATCTACATATCCCAGTTTATCTTGGAAACGTAGATGGGATCACGTGATCAATTCTGACCAATGGAAAGGGGGAGAAATAAGAGTTGTCACTTCTTGAAGCCTAAAAGCCTTTCACGTGATTGATTCTCTACAACTGGAAGAAAGGGGCTCTGAGGACCCATGAAACATAACCACAGACAGGAGAAGCCTGGAATCCTGAGAGGCTCTGTGTAGGAGAGCCACAGAACTAGGACACGTGGCTTGGACTGTCCACTTAGTGAAAAAGGAGCGTTCCTCTGGGCTAAGCCATTAATAGGTGGGGGCTGTTAGACAAAGCAGTCAACTCCAGTACACAATGTGTACATGTTAGAGCAAGTTTGTCACATGTGATTGTGGCTCATACCCCCACCTTCAATCCCCGTCACCAAATTGGACTAGCTTTAGTCTTCCCAGAAGTCAGACAGTGTGTGAGTCCAATTGCAGATTACTTGCCTGTTCACTGTTCTCTGGAATTTACACACATAAAAACAGTACATGTGAGATGGTTTCATTTTAGGAACTTGCAAATCCTAGACTGAGAAAGTTTTAGAAAAGGAATGCACATTTGTAGTCATCTGGTTCAACCATTAAAACAAGGGAGAAGGTTTTCTGAGATCTGTTCTTCCTAAATTAGATCAGTAATGAAAACAGCCAAATCTGCGCATCAAAAGACCTTCCAGCCTTAGCCGTTTTGGCTCAGTGGATGGAGCATCGACCTGGGGCCTAGAGGGTCCTGGGTTTGATTCCAGTCAGGGCCATGTGCCTTTGTTGTGGGCACATTCCCAGTAGGGGAAGGGGGAGAGGGTGCAGGAGGCAGCTGATCAGTGTTTCTCTCTCATCAGTGTTTCTGGCTCTCTGTCCCTCTCCCTTCCTCTCTGTAAACAATAAATAAAATATATATATTTAAAAAAAAAGACCTTCCAGTCTGCCTGATGTATGATCTCTATCATTCTGAGAAACAAAAGCACAAAGTAATTTAAGAATATATTTTATTGATTTTTTACAGAGAGGAAGAGAGAGAAATAGAGAGTTAGAAACATCAATCAGCTGCCTTTTGCACACCCTCCACTGGGGATATGCCCGCAACCAAGGTACATGCCCTTGACCAGAATCAAACCTGGGACCCTTGAGTCTGCAGACTGACACTCTATCCACTGAGCCAAACCGGTTTCGGCAAGCATAAAGTAATTTAAAACAATAAGAGAGTGTGTGTGTGTGTGTGTGTGTGTGTGTGTGTGTGTGTGTGTAAAGGTGACAATAAACTGAGAATTTGTTAATGAATGAATGAGATGGGTGGGGGGTGGAGAGGTGGGGGAGATGTATATGAAAGGCTATGAGCAATGATGAAAAGGTTTTAGCTCAGCCAATGTGGCTCGATTTATGAACCAGGAGCTCATGGTTCAATTCCTGGTTGGGACATGCACTCGGGTTGTGGGTTCGATCACTAGTGCAGGGTGTGTAAGTGGCAGCTGATCAATGACTCTCTCTCATTACTGGTGGTTCTCTCTCTGTCTCCTTCTCCCTTCCTCTCTAAAATCAATTTAAAAATATTTTTTGAAGATAGAAAAGGTTTTACTACCAATCTTTGTAATTATGAAGGTTTCTACACTTGAACTGAACTCAGAATTGGGAGGTAGAGGAGAACTAGTCAGATGGAAACCAAAGCCCTGGTGGACAAAGTACTGACTTGAGGCCATAGGCTGGATGGTACAGGAACCCAAGTCAGCACCCACATCTTCAGAGCGCCCTTGCATGTGCCTGGCCATGCATCTGGCTGTCTAGCATTAACAACTCATGCTTTAGAATTAGAGCAATGTGCGTTAAAATTCTGGGCTCCTCTCTTACCAGGTGGATCATCTCAGGAATAGCATTTAACATCTCTGAACAGCATTTAACCTCATCTGTAAAATAGAGATAATAATAGGACTTTCCTTTTAGGGTTGTTATATCAACTACGTGGATTAATGCATTTAGAATGCTTAGTAAACATCTGACCCTAGTAAAATTTTATGATGTTTTTGCTGCTACTTAAAAGAATACCAGAGTTGTATAAAAACAATGCAGCGGCCTTCACAGAACAACACCCCACACAGCTGGAGGATTACTTCCTCTGTGAACAGAAAGCATTATATATTCATGCTTTTGAAGAACTTCGAGTGTATTTTTTTGTTGTTGTTTTTTTTAGCTGAAGGCTCTTGATAAATAACAAATGCAAAGAAAGAAGCTTTCTCTGAACTCCCCTTACCTGTCTAAAGACAGATTCCCCAAAAAAGAACTCAATTGCTATAAATTCCCTCCCTTCTTCTCCCCAGGATTTTCATCAACATGGGAAGATAGACTGGTCCCAGGAGAGGAGACTAGAAGTCCCCTCCACATCCAGACAAACTTTGTCACACACTGTCATATCTCCCACCTATTCTAGGAACCCATTCATCTTTCCTGAAAATTATTTACTCTCCCCTAAGTGATCTATATCCACCCTGCCCTTCTACCAAGATAGCACATAAGCTTTCAAATCCCATTGCTTTTTTGAGTATTCACTTTTTTTTATGCCTCTGCCCATGTAATATTAAAAATTAATAAATTTTGCTCTAACCGGTTTGGCTCAGTGGATAGAGCATCGGCCTGTGGACTCAAGGGTCCTGGGTTCGATTCCAGTCAAGGGCATGTACCTTGGAGTGTGCGGGAGGCAGCTGATCAATGTTTCTAACTCTCTATCCCTTTCCCTTCCTCTCTGTAAAAATCAATTAAAAAAAATTAAAAATTAGTAAATTTGTATACCTCTTCTCCTGTTAATCTGCCTGTAGTCAGTTTATCTCATAGATCCAGCTATGAGTAGAGGGACAGACTCTCCTCTCCTACATTTTATTTGGGACATTGATTCCTTACCTCATATCCCTGTCCTCTGCCAGATGATAAATTTCTTTCTTGATTGATTAATCGATTGATTTTTAGAGAGAGAGAGAGAAACATTGATTTGGTGTTCCACTTATTTATGCATTCATTGGTTACTTCTTGTATGTGCCCTGACCAGGGATCAAACCCACAACCTTGGCTTATCAGGACTATGCTCTAAACAGCTGAGCTAACCAACCAAGGCCAGATGGTCAATTTCTTGTCACCTTATCTCTTTCTGATTCCTTCAGAGCAAGGAGTCTGATTTGCACAAAATATGTGTTCCCTTGAAGCTTGTTGGGAAGCAGAGCCTGGCATGGGAAGATGAATGTAAAGAATTTGTGAGTATCTCACACCCCTTTCCTGGCTAGGGTTGACCAGGCCCCATGCCTGCCTTCTTCAGGACTCTAGCTCCTGCATCGATGAAGAGAAGTTCATTTGATGTGAACCCCAAAAAGGAATTTACATGCTGAAATGGACCTTCCGTGGTCAAGCAAATGTTATGACTAGCAGCATTTGCTGACAGGGCTCCTCATGTACCTTGCACACCTGAAGAACCTCAGACGGAACTCTTAGCTTCCCAGCTCTGCTCCTGCCATCTGAGTCACCCATTATCAGGGAGTTCCTGGTTTTGTCTCTCAACAATGACCTGAAACCTGTCCCTTCCAATCAGGACTGCAAAACTATATCCTCCAAATAATTGGAACTGCAGGATTCAGACGAATCAGAGCTATATATATGAATTTGGAAATCTCATTTGCATAAAATTGGGAATCTGAGCAGGAACTTTCTCCATAAACAATGGCCTCCCCTTTGCCTCAGGGAGCAGAGTTTTGGTTTCTACTGGAAGGTGCTCCTGCAATTAGACATTTAAAAATAATCTAATGAGCCCTGACTGGTTTGGCTCAGTGGATAGAGCGTCGGCCTGCGGACTGAAAGGTCCCAGGTTCGATTCCGGTCAAAGGCATGTACCTTGATTGCGGGCACATTTCCATTAGGAGGTGTGCAAAAAGCAGCTGATCGATGATTCTCTCTCATCGATGTTTCTAACTCTATCCCTCTCTCTTCCTTGCTATAAAAAATTAATAAAATATATTTTTTAAAAAAACAAATAAATAAAAATAGGAAAGCATAATTATTGAGAATAAAATGAAAATCAGAACAATAAATAAATAAATAAATAAATAAATAAATAAATAAATAATATAATGAGCCCTGACCGGTTTGGCTCAGTGGATAGAGCGTCGGCCTGTGGACTCAAGGGTCTCAGGTTCGATTCTAGTCAAGGGTATGTACCTTGGTTTCGGGCACACACCCAGTAGGAGGTGTGCAGGAGGCAGCTGATAGATGTTTCTAACTCTCTATCCCTCTCCGTTCCTCTCTGTAAAAAAAATCAATAAAATATACTTTTTTAAAAAATTAAATAAAATAATCTAATGATTACCAATGAAGAAAGAAAGAAAAAAAAAAAAGACGTGCTGTCTCCTCAAGTAGCTGCTAAATGGCAGGAAGAGAGAATATAACGTTCATCTGCAGGGCAGCCCCCGGCAGGACCCCACGCCCTTTCTTGAAGGTCAGAGACCCTAAACCACGTCCAGCTTTATGGACCAGCTCCCCAAGGTCTCCTAAGCAGTGGGGGTGCATTTGAGACATCACCGATACCACTCTCAAAAGGTCTCATCTTCACCTCAGACCCCAAATACACAAGCCAGCCCCTCAGCCCTGATCCTCTTCACATTTCAACCTCAGTGCAGCCCTGCCAGTGCCCCTCAACCCCCTGGCATAGTTTCACTTCTCTCATTCTAACTGGGGTGTGTTGTTGTTGTTTTTTCCTCTGTTCTTCATTGTCTTCCCTTTTCTTCTCTGTTTCTGTCTCCAGCTAAAGTCACTTTGCGCCACCTTTGTGATTTTTGCATATCTTAATACTTAACTTTTTTCACTTTGATATTTTTTTATTACTTGACTTCCTTTTAAACACCTACATAAAGTTACTTCTAAGAGAAACTCTATATCAATAGAAAAACAGTATTCCCTGCTATAGAAGGGGAAACTTATAAAATAGTAAAATACATACAATGAACCAGAGGTATGGTATTAAGATCGAGCTGGATGCTGTTGGTGACGGAAAGCTGTGAGCCGGAGACCTACCCAGCTGCGGTTTTGGTGAGAGAGGAGGTAGAGAACCCTAAGAGAGGTGCCGAGGACAAACCAGCACCAAACTGAGGATTCACACAATCAGAAGTGGCAAGGGATCTGCCTCGTCTCACTGTGTGTGTGTGTGTGTGTGTGTGTGTGTGTGTGTGTGTGTTTATTTAGTTTCATGTTCTTATATCCTTGTGTGGTCCAGGAAATCGTGGTGTGAAGATTACTCTGGTTTGATCTCTGTACCCTGCCCTTTGTTCCCGCTCCCTCGTTTCTTCAGTTTCCCTGTTTGTCCTCTCATTCCCTCCCATTTCTTCTCTTTCCTCTCGCTTTTCAGTGGAGTGAGCAAATTCTTCTGTTATCCTCAATGCACTAACCGCCCATGAGAAAAAAAGAAAAATAATTCAAACTTACAAAAGGTGAGCTGGTTAGGCGCCTTGCCAGCTCTCTCCCTGCCCCGAGGTAAGCCTTACGTCCAGGGACTGGCCTTCTGCCTCCTCCCCAGGCTGGCCTCCTGCTCTTAGAAGCAGGGAGGACTCTTTTCCTGACACGGTTTTTGGATATAGTGTCAAAAGAAGAACACCAGCCCTGGCCAATTTGCTCAGTGGTTAGAACGTTGGCCTGTGGACTGAAGGGTTGCAGGTTTGATTCCAGTGAAGGGCAGGTACCTTGGTTGCAGGCTCCATCCATACACCCTTCCTCCCCTCCCCCTCCCCACTCCACCCAGAAAATCAGTAAATATATCTCTCTCACACATCAATGTTTCTCTCTCTGTCTGTCTCTATTCCTCCCATCCCCCCCTTCCCCCTTCCTCTCAAAAGAAAAAAAAAAAAGGAAAAAATATCCTCAGAGGAAGGTTAAAAAAAAAAAAGAGGAACACAGTCAGTGAGTGAGGTTGCAAGGTCCAAGTCAGCCACCCT